CAAATATCGAAAATGAACTCTTTTGCAAATAGGAGCAAGATAAACAATGTAACACATATTTCACATCATTATTGTGAAGATTCTATTGTTACAAATTGCAATAGAGGGACTTACAGTGAAAAGCACATATCCAACAATTGATAATGTAGGAGGGAGTATATATATAAACTCTTAAATTTTCTGACACGGTAATATTATAAACTTCTTCATGTCCTCTTTCCTTATGATCTTATAATTTCTTTTACTCTCTTCTTCAGCATTCTTTAGTTTAACGAAGGAAGAGAAAATATGAAAAATGTACAAATTAACAATGACGATGAACAGCTCCTTTTACTCCTTTTTTCTTTATATTTGCTCCACCTTCTGTCTTCACTAAACAAGAAGAGTATGAATTGCACAGGTATCTACCTTTTTCTCATCTACCACATTGAACTTCACTCTTCCACCCTTTTGGCTCAACTCCATTCCAAAAATATTGAAATGCATTACTAATTTTGAAATATTCAGAACCTAATTCGCGTAAAATAAGACATAAGAAAACTAAGAGGTAAACATACCTCAAAGTGATTCACATTTAAATCGTGTGAATTCTTTTCCTCTAGACGTTATTATGGGAGAAAATCTGTACATTTATCATTCAATTCAGGAAATATAATTGCACAGGAAGGATACAAGCTTGAGCTATATTGGCAATCACCTGAAGTGGGATCACAATAATCAAAACCTTCTTTTCTTTATCTTGCAAATATGGCTTCAAGATCAACCATCCAGACCCAATCAACACAATAAAAGTGAACAAAGTAATTCTATATAACTTGTTTAGTTTCTTTTTCATAACAAATTTATTAATAAGAAGAAAGAATAATAGCAAAAAAGACCAGGAATCATGAATATTAAATGAAAGAAAACATATATGTTTAATGTGAAATATTTCTCAATCCTTGTCAGATATCTATAATTATCCAGCCTTAGCCCATTGGTATGAGGAAAACTATTCACTAAGAATGTACTTGCATTGAAAGGTTGTTACATTAAGTTGAATCCAAATAGAACAGGTAGTCATCATAGCACACAACACAAACATTTGGGGAAGACTTACGGGGTCTCCTCGTTCGTAACAGATCATTAGCATTAATTTTGTCAAGAACTAAAGACCAATTAAATTCTTATACCTTCACAGGGTTTTATATTTTCATATGAATGTCTTCAAAGGAAAAGAAGAATACATGTGAAAACAAGTTCAATTGGAGAAGCATGATTTATGGGGAAAATTATCCAATATATCCAGAATCGGAGTCAACCGTCTCAGAAAGAAATGAGATTATAGGACTAACAAATTAAGTAAACTTGCAAGATCATTAGTCTCCTAATCATTGAGATTGTGGAGAAAGTCCAGTTGCAAGAGCTGAAACCGTGGAGTGTAGACAAGCATTGGAAACAAGGGTATGTGATAAATCCCAAGTATATACATCCT